CCGAGGACGGAGCGCCTCGTATTTCCTCCTCGTCGCCGACTACGACACTCAATATAGCGCCTTAATTCGGCCATGTGAGTCACTCCTCGCAAGTCTCCGGCATTATCCTTTTTCTCTCACTTCAAAAACACCAATATTCCTTAAATTTATTTCTTTTTGTTTCATTTAAAGCTTCGACATGCCATTCATTCTTCTGGGTTTCATTAACTTGTTTAAATTTTACCTCGAGTTACATATTTGTATTAATTAGGGATGGAATTTATTTTCTCAACGAGAATTTTTATTCATGTTGAGGATTAAGAAGGAAAGTAGATAGATCAATGATAAAATAAAAGTAAGGCAAAAAGATTTACACAGAATAGGTTTAAAATCCAATGTAGCACTTAACTGGAATGAACAAAGAATGTCTGATCCCAATTAGTTAGGAAAAAGGCTAACGATATGGTGTTGATGAGAATTTTAATTGTTGTGATTGTTATATTGTTAAATCATTGTTTCTATAGCATGCTTGTGATATCTCACACTTTCTGTGCTTGCCATTGTTTAATTCTAAAAAAATGCTCGTTAGGCGTCTTACCAAAGTCGAAGCTTATTGCTATTCAGAATAAATGGGACTCCTTTGCACTCGAAAGATTATGTAATGTTGACATAGACCATTAGAAAACAAGTATAGAAGTGACTTCGAGTTTTGCTCACATGCTTGAAACAAGTGATTACAAGTATAATTTCGAGCATGCTATGCAGCTTAGGTATTGTGCAACTTGTGTAAAGTTGGCATGGTGGGGAATGAAGTTGAAGAATTCAACCAAAGAGTTGTTTGAAGGAAAACAACCTAAGTATATTATGCTTTATACCTACAGTTTCTCTTGCTTGGAAGTTGTCCACAGGAAGTAAAAGACAGACGTGCAAGATGGTACCAGTCATCTAATAATTTGATAGTGTTTAAATCTATTTTGCCATGCAAATACTGTGATATTGCTTTTAGTATGAAAATATTTAACGATTGTAAAGAAACTTAATAATATGTATGGGTATTTTTTGGTTTATTTGGCCTACTTTTATGGAAGCTGAGCCAAGCATTATTACCAAGCTTTAGAGACCACATATATATATATATTGTTAGAGTATATTTTTATATGTAATGGTTTCAATGATTAGGATATTGACGTTTTGCCATCGTATTTGGGATTATGCTCTCAATTTTAAGGGTTGTGATATCAACAACAACATCAAGCCTTTATCCCATTATGTGGAGTCGGCTACATGAATCCTTTTTCTCCATTGTGTTATGTTAAGAGTCAAATTCTTATTTAAATCTAATAAAAAAATGTCATTTCTAATATTTTCTAACCAAGTCTTTCTAGGTACCTATACTTTTATTAACATAAGACAAATCTAATACATCTACTTTCCTAATAGAGTCATTTGAAGGCTGTCATTTTATGTGACCAAACCATCTAAGGCGACTCTCTCTAATCTCGTATTCCACTGGAGCTACTCCAACCTTTTCACGCATATGTTTATTTTGATCGTCTCTAAGAGTAAAGCCACTCATCCATTTGAGTATCCTCATATCTATAACACTTAACTTAATATTATGCTTCTCTTTTAATGATCAACATTCTACACCATAAAATATTCTAGGTCTCACCACCATCTTATAGAAATTTCCTTAAGTTTGAGGGGGATTTTTCTATCACACAGCAAATCCAATGCATTCCTCCATTTCAACCATCCAACTTGAATTATACAATAACTTCCTCATATATTTCATTATCACTCTGAATAATAGACCTAAGATATCTAAAATGTGTACTCTTATTAATGACTTCATCGCCCAAATTCACAATCCCTCACTAGATCTTTTACTACTAAAAATAGACTCTATATATTCAGTTTTAGATCTACTCGAATGAAAACCTTTAGACTCAAAGGTTGATCTTCATAATTCAAGTTAACCATCAACTCCCACTATAGTCTTATCAACAACAATAATATCATCAGTAGAAAACATACACCAGGGTACAACCTCTTGCAAATGTCTAGTGAGAGCATCCATGACTAAAGCAAAATTATATAGGCTTAAGACCGATCCTTGATGTAATCCAATTGAAATATGAAAATACTTGGTCAAACCACCTTGTGCTAAAAAATTTTTATGCTCGTTTAATTTCAAACCTCGATTATCTCGATGATCCTAAAAACTATGTATTTCCTATCTGCTGGGTACATTTTTCTGTTTTTAATCAATCATCATAATTCTGTAATTTTTGCTAACTAACCATTTCTTCCAACTTGTGCTACTAAAATTATACACAAGCATGCTTAATTTCATTCCTATTCAGGTAAAGAGGATTACATAATCGATAAAGTTGTCTACAAAACAGTTCATCTTCAATTCTGACAAGGAAGATCAACTGAATGATGAGGAAAATGTGAAGCATAAGAATGTCAAATAGCTTTCTCTATGTTCTGGTTAAATTTAGTAAGTTTTTCAGGTATAGTTCATCTATTTATCTGCCATACCCAAGTAATGGTGCTTATTAATGCCTTGTGGAACTTTGATGTCCGAACCTTCTTAAAAGGTTCAATCTCTAATGTTAGTTGTTAGTTGTTTTCTTACAAAATATATAGACTATTCTAATGATTCAAATATCTTAGTTTGGGTGTTTTCCAATTAAAAACTTTAATCTTCACATAGATAGTGTCTTAAAGATCTTGGATTATTTTTATTTTCACTAAGGGGTTACTTAATTTGATGAAAAGTAAGTGCAGAGTATTTCAAATACATATTTTTTTTTTTTTAAAAATTTTGGTGTTTGCTTCGATGAAAAAGGAATGAAAAGTAAAATTTTGATAAATTATAAATTAATGTTTGTCGGCCACAGACCACCATCATCATTGAGTTTTATATTACATTCCACTCCTTTGCTTGTATTCCAAATTACTTTGCAATATAAAACAAACAAGCTAAGAAAGAATATAACTTCATTTAATCAATTGATAATGAATAGATACATGAGCCCTGAAAGGGATATAAAAACTTATTAAGGAAATCTCCACATCAAGCCTTACCTATTTGGTTGATTGGTCAAGGCTTTTATAATGAGTTAGTTGGATCATTAAGTTTAACAAGGGATGTTGCTAAAGAGGAGCATTAATTTTTAAGACATTTGAAGAGGCTTATACTTTGATACTGTGTTAATAAATTTTAATCTTTAGTTAAAGAATGAATCGAAAAAAGTAAAAAGTGCGCATGAAAATGATATTCAGTCTATATTGGCTCACAAGCGGTTGTATTATCTTGATAACATGATTTTTTACATTGAAATCTTAAGTATGAAAAAAAAGAAGTAATCAATGAATGATAATAATAGATGCATGATGTTAGTAAGATAATGACGGTATAACGATATTGATTAGCAGATGACAATCATATTATAGTAGTCAAATGATAAGAGAATGAGTTATAATAGCTCGGTGGCATTGTTCAAACAATGATGTTCAAATAATGACGCTCATACAATAACAAATAAAAGTTGGTGATGGCTAGTTATGATCTAATGTATTGTTTATAGCGATCTTAACAATCATATTGATTTACACAGGATGATATGTTCATGCATAAAATTTGATACACGGGATGAGCTATTACTAATTGTGTTCAAACACAAGGTGGTTTGACCGAATATTTTCCTATTTCGGTTGGATTACATAAAGGATCAGCCTTAGGTCCATGCCTTTTTGCTTTAGTCATGGATGTTCACACTAGACATTTGCATGAGGATGTACCTTGGTGTATGCTTTTTGCTGATGATATTCTTCTTGTTGATAAGACTAGAGAGGGAGTAAAATGTAAACTTGAATTATGGAGGTCAACTTTAGAATCTAAAGGTTTTCACCTGAGTAGATATAAAACTAAATATATGGAGTGTAATTTCAGTAGCAATAGACCTAGTGAGGGGATTGTGACTTTGGGCGATGAAGTCATTAATAAGAGTACACATTTTAGATATTTTGGATCTATTGTTCAGAGGGATAGTAAAATTGATGATGATATTATCAGCAGAATTCAAGTTGGATGGTTGAAGTGGAGGAATGCATCGGGTTTATTGTGCGATAGAAAAGTCTCCCTCAAACTTAAGGAAAAATTCTATAAAATGGTGGTGAGACCTACAATGCTTTATGGTGCCGAATCTTGGCCATTAAAAGAGAATCATAATACTAAGTTAAGTGTTGCAGAGATGAGGATTCTTAGGTGGATGAGTGGCTTGACCCTTAGAGATAGGATATGAAATGAGCATATACGTGAAAAGGTTGGAGTAGCTCCAGTAGAATATAAGATTAGAAAGAGTCGTCTTAGATGGTTTGGTCACATTAAACGGAGGTCTTCTGATGACCCGGTTAGAAAAGTTGAGGTATTATATTTGACTTATATTAAGAAAGGTAGAGGTAGACCTAAAAAACTTGGTTAGAAAATATTAGAAATGATCTTTCTTTATTAGATTTAAATGAGAATTGAACTTTTAACCGGACACAATGACAAAAAATTATTCATGTAGCCGACCCCACGTAGTGGGGACAAAGGCTTGATGTTGTTGTTGTTGACGGGTCTCATGTGTCAACCTCTATTACTTGTATTTCTGGATCGGGGGTGTCGATTATTATAGCTCTAGTTCAACATTTTATATGTATGAAGCATAATTATTTGCATATTATATATGATATATGATAATATAAAGTCATCAAAGGGGGGCCCATCATCTTTATTATATGGTGAGGTTCAACATAGGTGCAATTATTGTAAAGTGGAAGGTCATAACCAAGTTATTTGTGAAGTAAGCGCCCATCATCTTTAATTTTTTATTTTTATTTTTCTTGCTTTTCAAGAATATTATAATTGTTTTAATTCAATATAATAAAGTAATGCCACTGATTGGTTATACAATCGACTGTATTATATATATATATGTATATATATTCACACCAAAAATTTCCTCGAAGGGCATTTACGCCCACGCGTCGAAAACGAAAACCCACTATCCCCAATCTTTCCCGGGCAAAGCGCGGACGAACCAAATGGGAAAGCGTCGGATCAGCCAGGTCTCGAGCGAAGACGAGGAACCCTCACCGCCAGCAGATGACCGGCGTCGGCGAAAGCAGCGACGTCTCCGGCAGGTCGAATACGACGATGACGCCGACACTAATAAGAGCCGCTCACAGACGAACGGCAGAGGTGCTCGCGATGGTGCAAGGGAGGAGGAGAGCGAAGCAGAGGGGGATGAGGACGAGGAGGCTAAGGCGGAGCCGGTTGGGGAAGTTCTGAAGGTTACGGGGAAGGGGAAGAAGAAGAAGAACCATTATGGTTCGTTTGAGTTCGAGGGGAATGTGTTCGAGCTGGTAAAGATTTGGATATTCCTAGGTTTTGTTTATTTAGAGCTTTCGTGGCGGTTGGATGACGGATTTTTTTTCTTGGTTTTTATTCTTTTGGTTGATCGGCAAATTGTGGCTAACTTGGGGTAAATGACAGATGTTTGATTACGTTTGCAGGAGGATTCAGTATTGTTGACTCCCGAGGATTCGAAGCAGAAACCGTACGTCGCCATCATTAAGGTGAGTGGTTGATTTATCAGACTTTGTAATACTTGATTATTTCGTTCTTCCATTCTTTTTTCGAGAATTCTAGGATAGGGATAAACGAAAAAGTAGGTGTTTCTTGGAGTTGAAATCTTATTATTGTTTTTACTGGGACTTTCTTGATCTTCATGCTGTATGCTATCATTGAATACTCTAGGGCTAGGAGCATCTTCTACCTATTTTTATTGAACATCTACTAATTGGGAGTTCACGGCACTATTTCTTTTACATCTTGTATCGGTTTTCTTTCTTTTGCTTATTTTCGTTGCATTTTTTTTCTTTCTTCAAGTAACATTACTGGTTTGCTATATGTTGGGGTTGATTCTATTATTATTCACGACTTTATTGAATTCAGGACATTACTGAAGATGTTGATGGGAATTTTATGGTAACTGGACAGTGGTTTTACCGGCCTGAAGAAGCTGAGAAAAAAGGTGGGGGAAACTGGCAGGCCAGAGATACTAGAGAACTTTTTTACAGCTTCCATCGAGATGATGTCCCAGCCGAATCTGTTATGCACAAATGTGTTGTACATTTTGTTCCCCTTAACAAAAAGTTGCCTATTCGTTCTCAGCATCCTGGGTTTATTGTTCAGAAGGTGTATGATACTGTAGAAAGAAAACTTTGGAAATTGACTGATAAAGATTATGAAGATGGAAAGCAACATGAAATTGACCTCCTTGTTCAAAAAACACGAGAGCGGTTAGGCGAGCTTCCAGATCTTGAGCCTGAAGAGCCATCTGGTGATCAACATGATCAGTCGAATCAAACAGCACAAACTACTCAGCTGACTAGCAAATGGAATCACAGGAGGAAACCTCTGCCTTCTATTGATGCGCAAAGACTTGAAGGTGCAAGCACAAGGTTTGATAATACATCTAAAGCAGAGACACCTGGTAGTTGTCCTGGTGATCTTTTAGAATACGATGCAATCTTAAAAAAATTTAATGCCTTAACGAGAGATTCACACCGGGATAAGTGGTTAAAGAAGCTTTTGCAAGCAATTCAAACATCATGCAAGGACTTTGCTCCACCTTCTGATCAAACTGCAGCTGGCAACATGGATGGGTCTTCAAATGTAAGTAACATATGGTATAACCCTACATTTTAAGGAGTTGAAGGCATGAATCTTCCTTTATAGTGATAGACTTGCTAAATTATTTCATATTATTGTGGGCTTATGGCTTTATTAATTGGTTAGAGCCCTGAAATTAATGCTGAAACTCAAGGATTATGATCAACCACATTGGCAGGAGATGACCTCTCGATGAAGGATATGGCTTATAGGCCCCTCCTGCTTTTAACATACCTTATTTTTTTTTAATGCGCTTTATTCACAATGAAACCATTTTATTCGAATTATGTGTTTTTTCATGGAAACAATATGTACGATGCACATAATCGCTGCATTGTCAAGATAGAAGTGAAAGGTTGTTTGGCCTCACACCTTGGTCCTCCACCGCCAATCTAGTAAATGAGGTATTAAAATGGAAAAAGAAATATTTTCAAGGGTCTTAATCTGTAAAAACAATATGCCATCTAGTTTTTTCTTAATTTTTTTTTTCTGGATTTATGGTGAACGGTTATATGCATTTTTTAAGTGTGATGATATTCATGGCAGTTTTTGTTTGACTAGCTTAATTTTTTGTTGAAATATAATGTATGGCCTTCAGGGTAGAGGTGATAATTATCAATTTAAGGGAGGAATACTTAATAGTGTTGAGTGCAATTGATCACCTTGTGAAGAATAGAAAGAGAAGATAAAGAGGGGTAAAAGGTCTCCAGAGGGAAGCAAAAAGGGACCAGCAAGAAGGAGGCTGAACTAGACATCCAGGAGGGACATGGGAGGAAAGGTTATCAAATTCAAGGCCCCAAGGTCTGGCCAAATTCTTTAAATAGATAAATTTTATTTTATTATTCATGAAAATTTATAAATACATTTATAGACTACTATTTCTATCGATGGTCCTTCACATGAAATGATTAAAATAAATAAATAAGTAAATAATAAAGTAAAAATATATCCGAGCATGTAAAAACATAGAATAAATAACGGAATTGCAAAAGATGCCTGTGGCTAAAACTGCTGGTGATCTTTTTGCCCGAATGGGTTTGGTTGCTTGTCCAAGCTTGTTAGATGTGTTCTGCTTATGAAACTTGATAAATGCATGTTGTAAGCTACTTTTTATAATACTGTTCTGCATATGAAATTATAAAAATCATTGAATAAATAAATAACAGAAGTACCCATATTTCTAAGTATCTACAACGACATAAAATAAAAAAAAAAATTACAAAAAATGCTTATAGCCAAAACTACCGATGAAACGGGTTTGGTTGTGCGTCCAAGCTTTTAGCTGTGATGATGGGTCTAAAAGCATAAAACATGTCATGAATTTCTATTTATAATGATGTATTGCATATGAAATGGTCAATATCCATAAATAGATAATAGTAAAAATATATTATAGTATCTAAAATGGCATAAAAATTTGAATAAATAAAGAAATGACAAAACTCACAAAAGATACCTGTAGCCATACCTACTGATGATTAATTTAACGACTGGATTTGGTTGCAGGCCTGAGTTTTTTTGGATGTCTTAATGTGCGTAAAATTATGAAATCCTGTCAATTGCCTATCATTATTTTATCCAAAACACTAGAATTTTATCTAAAGAGTTGAAAGGTTGTACTCATCAGGAGGATCGATAACCTTAGAGGAGGAGGTGTAGAACTAGACAATGAGCTGCTCTCATATGTAGAACTTTACCTTTAATATATCTACAAAAAGTATTTTAAGGTTTGAGGATACATCAACTAGATAACATTTGCCTAACATTTATAACTAGACATAATATTTATGTCAGCTGACTACAAACTATAAATTTATTAATTCATTAATACGTAGAAGATTTATTAGTTGATGAGTTTATAAAGTGTAGTTTCTGGTTGTAATTGTGCGGCAATAATGCTAGTTTTAAATAAATTATATCATCCTGTATTTCATTGTTACTCCAAGTACTAAGAAAGATGAACAACAACATCAATAATAATAATAGCATTAAGATCATCCTCATATATAACTTAGTGTATCCAAAAACATCCTGTAATTTATGCGTATAATAAATCAGTGATGCAACAATAGTGATGCATACATGGATAGTGCAATTAACCCTTACAGTTGCTTGAAGGATAGGTCAATCTTGAATTCATAATTAGATTGATATGATATTTTAGAAGTATTACAAACAATCTTAGTTGATGTGAAAGTTCAGACCCTTTTTTAAGCTTCCGTTTTGATGGTTCATTAGGTGCAACCTAGATGTTTACTAGTTAAATGAATAATTTATTGGAAAAAGATTGTGATTATTTCGTAGAAGCAGTTGATAGAACCATTTAGTCATTTACCTTTATAGTTCAATATCCTTTCTAGCATATAACGAGCAATGAAATAAACAAGTTATTTGAACATAAAAAACTACAATAATGATTTGCAGTACTACTTAGAACTTGTCAAATTTAATCTCAGGGTCCGACTCATGCACATTTTGAATTTTTAAAATTTTAGTTTGGCTAATTATCTCAGTCTTCTTTTAGATCTAGTTCATCCTATGAGAAATTTCATTGTCATCAACATTTTTTGTTGGGACCAATTTCTGAGGCAATGTGAAATATGAACCAAACCAAACTTTATGATAACCTGAGAGGGACATTGACTGAACAATAATGGTGCTGGTACTTGTGTGGTGAAATTTGGATGTCATGTTTTGGACCTTTAGTTCTAGGTGTAATATGGTCATGTGGCTGTGTTAACCTTAGGGCCTATATGTTTAAGTGTCGGGTGTACCATCTTTAATGTGTTTGCTAGTCTATTATGATGCCCTGATTGCTTTATTTTTATATTATGCATTTCAAATTCGGCTAAAAGTTCAGTATGATTTTCTACTTAGTTAGTGATAAGGTTAGTGTTCGTTGTCTGGTCTTCTGCGCTAAATATCCAGCCATTTTCCAATACTAGGGATTATACTTCTTGATTTCGTAATATTAATACGATGCTACTTGCTATGTTCCTCAATTTTCAAGGCTAAATGAGTAAATGGTAGGTTTCGTACTGGTCGTTGTTTAGCCTGATATTTTATTTAAATCATCAATGAACTTAATAATAGCAGAAAGTGGTTTAATTTCTAATAATAGCATAAAGTTGTCAATAAATGGAGGATTAATTCTAAATCTCAAGAAGTGTACAAAGCTACCAATAACTTCATATAAAATTCATGCAATATTGCGCACAAATGCCAAAAACGCACTACACCTATTAAGTTGACGAGGCTTGCAAATTGAGGTCCCGAGTCGAAGCTTGCTAGCTCTTAGTCAACCCAAGGGTCGTATTGAGATGTTACCATCGGAGTCGCTTTGCTCAAAATGTAAGGTAGTAAGATCTATACTTTAAAATAATCCTAGGTTTAGGGCAAGGAACACTTGCATAAGGGGCTCAATTAATTTTAACTATCCAATATCTCTTAATAAATCAAAGCTATTGATATTTCTACTAAAGCGTAGGATGGCTATGCAAAACAAGTCATTTAAATTTGGCATTCCAATGGATGTAAACCTTATCAAAATTAAATTTGGCATTCCAATGAATGTAAGCCCTACCTTAACTAAATCTATCAAGTTATATTTCCTATATGACTAGATTGTAAGACCCATCATTTGAGCAACTTATAAATAGAATGATAAGCCCCATGATAATTAAATTTGGTCCAATGGATATACCATAAGCTTGACTTAAATCACATTCGGTCGGGCCGACATAAAGCCATTAAGCCCATTGTAACGAAATTAAACCATTTGAGTCTTCTAATGTATGTAAGCCCCAACCCAATTAATTTTGGGCTTTCCATTGAATGTGAGCCCTAACTCAAATCACATTCAGGCCAGCATATATGCTAACAATCCCACCAAATCAATTAATTGTCCGAAATCATTATAAATAAAAAATCTATACACAATTACCTTAGTCTACTTGGGATCCTTGAAAGGAGACAACTTATGGTTGTTAATTTGATTCCCTGTATATTATGTCCTTTGGTCCTTTAACATTAGTAGGATGAGATCATTGGTATTCTGAAGATGATGAAGTCATGGGGTCTTGATCAGGTCTATCTTTATCTCTCATAAACATCTCCCTTTAATTCAAATAAATCTAAAAGTATTAAGCTTAAATTTAGTCTATATCAAAGTAAATGTTTTTAATCAAGAGTGCTTTCTCACGAGCGAGATTGATAATTAATTATGAGGGCTTGCGCTTAATAGGTGCTCATAGGAAGTTTAGATTCCAGATCTAAATAAACCTGCATAAACATTGAAAAAAAAAGTTTAATAAAAATTAATCTACCTCATGCAGAATGAAATCCTAGCTTAGAAGGTTGGGTTCGGGTGCATTTTTCTGGACTGAACACTTTTTATTTTTTGTGATGCAACCTAAAAACAAACTTTGCTATAGGAATGCAAATAAAAACACACTTCCTTTTTCATTCACATAAACCTTAAATAACACAAACAAACACAACAATAAACAATACTAACAACACTTACAATTTATAATAGAACAAGACATGACACAACTTAAAATTTACAATAGTTTTAGAGAAAGATAACTTTATTTTCATTAGGGTCGAATTTTAGAAAGCTGTGATCTCTTGGCATGTAGATCTCCCTACAATAATTGTGCCAGTAGATGTGTTTGTTGTATGGTCGATAACATAATTGAGTGTTGTCACAGATGAATCAATGTTTCTAATTGATGTGGCTGTTAGAGGATTTGAAGAAGACTCAAATAGGAAGAGGTGTGGGGTTGCTGCAAGAGGTTGAAGTTTTTGTCGAATTACAAGGCTGTTATTGTAGTTGTGGCATGTGGGTAAGACACGATGAGAAAATAAGGCAAATTGCAATGTGTAGTAGCGTAAGGGTTGTGAGCGGGCTAATTGTAAGAATTGGGACGCGTGCAACAATGTTGTTGTGAGCATAGAAGATAGGTGTGCCATCGAGGGATGCTAGAACAATGTGGACCCAT